TATACCAATAATAAGGGGGTTTGTGGCTCTTAGAAAAGAGTTAGGCAGGAAAGTTAGTTAGGGGGTTTCGGGTATGCCTTCAAAGACACTGAGGTCATCTTATCCTAGAAAGGATCTGCCCTAATCCTCCCAAAATTAAGCAAGCAAGAAGGTATTTTTAGGCTAAAAGTAACTCCTAGAAAGAAACAAGTGAGCAGAGAATTAGGTACCAATTTAAGCCAGTCACTTGCACCTGTACAATGAAGACCCCCCAATGACCTTCAATTCACCTGAGCCTCATTACACCATCTTTGTAATATGATGAGTATGCCCAGAAGTTCATTAATGTCATTATAACAGACTGAATCTGGGGAATGAACATGCACAGAAAGCAAATGATGAATCACTGAGTCCTGTCAATCTTCATTGTCGATCAAGGAAGCCCACCCCTTTAAGAAAAGTAACCACCCACAGCAAATACGGATAAAAACCCCAAAGGCTTTGTTACCAGGCATTTTGAGCCATGCTTTTCTTGCTCAGGCCCGCTTCCATGTCTGGAAGTGTACTTTCCCTTCTAATAAACCTTTTCTTTGTTGTTGTATTTTGGTGTCTGGCTCAATTCTTTGTTCGAGACATCAAGAACCTAGATAACACGCCGGGAGAGGACCCCACTCTCCAGTAACAGTAGGAATACCAGTTTATAATTTTCTCAGATGGCTACCCACTTGTTCCAATGTCAATCGATAATTCATCTTTTTTCCTATTGATTTGTCTTTTTTTTATTTATTTTTTTTTTTCCTCTAATGATTTAATATTCTCCTTTAGCAGAGACAGAATTCCTGTATTTATTTACATCTCTTTGTGGACTTTGTGTTGTGGTTGGTTGATTGACTTCTTAGGTATATTCAAATGCTCTTTTTTTGTTTTGTTTTTTTAAGTTATTTAAATTAGTTCAAGTATACAGTACATTGGTCAGACATCTATATAGTTCATAAAACGATCCCTCCAATTGTTCCCTCCCTCCCCTGACCCTCCACCTTGCCAACATATTAATCCTGACTGCATTCCCTATGCCGTGCTCCCCATTCCCATGACCATCCATCAGCTATTAATTCGTACTTTAACCCTCACCCCATACTCCCAGCCCTCTAATCCCCCTCCCCTCTGTCCATCACCAAATTGTCCACTATATTTGTGAGTCTATTTTTGATTAGTTCTTTTTGTTCCTTAGATTCCGCATATAATTGAAATCATATGGTATTTCTTTCTCTGTCTGACTTATTTCACTCAGTATAACAACCTCTAGGTCCATCCATGTCGTTGCAAATGGTAGGATTTCATTTTTTTAATGGCTGAGTAATATTCCATTGTATATATGAACCATAATTTTTTTATCTAATCGTCTATTGATGGGCGTTTAGGTTGCTTCCTTATCTTGGCTATTGTAAATTGTGTTGCCGTGAATATTGCAGTGCATAGATCATTACAAACTATTGTTTTGGTTTTCTTTGGATAAACACCCAGAAGTGCAATTGCTGGGTCCATAGGCCGTTTTAACTACTGTATATAATTTGTTTTAATCTGATGGATTTGCTTACTTGATTTTTTTTTTTTTTTTTACAAAGGTACCAACATAACTCATGGAGGAAAATGAAGGTCTTTATAATAACAGTGCATAGATCGTTACAAACTATTGTTTTGGTTTTCTTTGGATAAACACCCAGAAGTGCAATTGCTGGGTCCATAGGCCGTTTTAACTACTGTATATAATTTGTTTTAATCTGATGGATTTGCTTACTTGATTTTTTTTTTTTTTTTTACAAAGGTACCAACATAACTCATGGAGGAAAATGAAGGTCTTTATAATAAATGATGGTGGAGCAATTGCACAGGCAATTGTTTTATCTTTTCCATTTAGGCCTAAGATTCATCTTGAATTAATTTTTACATATAGTGTGAAATAGGGGTTAAGATTCATTTTCTCCATCTGTCCAGCATTCACCTCTGGCACTTACTCTGCATGACCCTTGGAGCATTATTACCTCAGTATTGTCATCTGCAAAACTGGCATAAAAGTAGCTCCTCTTCTTTAGGGAGAATTGTATAAATTGAGTTAATACATGTAGGGCAATAGAATAGCATCCAGCTCATGGTCAACACCCAACAAACGTTATTATCTTGAGATATATTTTCACAAGTAAAAGATAATACGAATGGAACCACTTTAAATATAGAGTCCGAACTGCCATCACAGTGAGACTGCCTTGCATGTCTTACTCTTCAAAACTTTGGAATGTTAAAATTGCATAGAATAATCTTCGGACTAGACCTGCAGCAGCTTTGTATTCCAAACAACTGTTAACAGGAAAGCAGACATTACATTATTCCCCTTTCTTTTCTCATAACTATCCACTGGTCTTCACTTCCTAATTGGAACACTAGTTGTGTTTCTGCCTGAATCAGTGCTTCCCAGAATTGCAGTTCCTTTTGGATGTCAAATAAATGCTTGTTGCCTCTCATCTCGACTTATTTATTTTTAATTTAACACAATTAAAGGAGTATCCAATCATTCCTATTTTATTTATTCAGTGGTTTGTTTTTCATTTGTTTGTTTTTATCAAGAATGGGTATTGAATTTTGTCAAATGCCTCTTCAATCTCTATGGAGATGACCCTGTGACTCTCCTCTAGTGAAAGATAAGAAGTAAGAATCACTCATGGACACCCTAAGAGACAATTCTTGCAGTACTGGTGTCTTCTCTACTGGGGTAGGCAGGACATGGGGTTTGCTTTACCAGGCTTGGGGTCAGTGCTACACTGGTTTCATAAAGTGAATGTAGACATTTTCTACCTTACTCTAAACTGTGGGCATTTAACTCGCAGGAGAGGTCTCTGGTCCTAATGGCAGGGCATACTTCACCTGTGTAACCTTCTAGAGGGGCATTTGAGGTAGGCTAGTGTTCTCACAATGTTCTCATTTTGTGTGTGTGTGTGATCGTTAATGTGTCTAGATCTTTGCCCCTTCTTGAATTCACTTGTCATTTTTTAAGGCTTCCGGTTTACAGTACAATTAGACATTTACACAATCCATAAAGTAATTCGTCATTTGTATTTAAGGTTGTCGGGATTAGCAAATAAAAATATAGGATGTCCAATTAAATCTGAATTTCAGATAAACAGAAACTTTTTGGTTTAAATACGTCTCAAGTATTGCAATTCTACTTACATTGTCCTAGAGAGTAATTTATTTTGTCAACATTTCCAAATTTATTTGAACAAAGATGAGTAATCTTTTATACATTTAACTTTCTCTATACCTTAGATTATTTCCTCATTCTCATTTCTTCTTTTGCATATTCACACTTCCTTCATTTTTCTTGATCAGCTAGCTAATAATATATATATATATACACACATATATACATTTTTTTTCAAAGATCTGTTATTTCTGGTCTCAAATTTATCAATTTCTGCTTCAGTTGTTACTGAGTCCTTCTTCTTGCTTTCCAGATTGTTCTCCTTTACTAACTTCTTAAGTTAGCTGTTTTATCTATTTTAATTCTTATTATTAGTGTAATTTATTGTTAATGTAATTAATGGCCTGCTTTAGCTGTATCCTATGGGGGCTGATCTATACTGGTCAATGTTATTTTGAAAATACTGCATCTTGATTTTTATTTCTTCTGTGTAACAAGATGTTTGAAGAGCTGGCTATAAGATGACCAGGATGGGCTGGGAATGCACTTTAGCTGGCATTGCTGGTGGTCCAGGTAGGATGTGGGCAAGGACTAGGCACCTCCCCCAGGGAGGGATGAGCAGGGAGGTAGGAGAATTCCCCTGGGGGGAACTCAGCCCTGCCCACACCTTGATTTATGCCCAGAGATACTGATTCCAGACTCGGCCTGGGAGAGAAGAGAGTTCTGTTGTTTCGAGGCACTGAGTTTGTGGTACTTTGTCTCAGCAGGTGCAGGGTGCTAAAACCGGCCCCCATCCTGCTTGGCCAACCACAGGGCAGAGTGGGAGGCAATTGCTCAGTGGAGTTGCTCCTGGGACCTGCCAGGTGGAGGCATGCCCCTGTGGGATATTTGGGTTGAAATGGGAACCCCCGATGCTCCCAGGAACCAGTGTGGGGCAGGACCCCCAGGTCAGTCCAACGAGGCCCCCCAAGGAGGGTGGCTCATCCAGCAAAGCTGTTCACAGTAGTTGGGGGCTCATAGGTCCAAAGCAACAGTTCTCAACTGGGGGTGATTTGGTTACTAGTAGTTGTGGGGAGGAGGTGGCTGCATCTATCAGAGGCCAGAGATGTTGCTCAACACCCTACAAAGTGGGGACAACTCCCACAGCAAAGAATGCTTCACACAAAATGTCAAAGGGCCAAGGATGAAAATGTCAGCTGTTGGGGCTGAGAACTAGGCTAGGGTCTTAGATTTTAACTTCATCCAACACGTTCCTGGTAGGGAGGGCAAGATCCAGAAATAGGCCTCGGCTAAAGGCCACCAGCCCCACCCGTGTCTTTCCCCCAAGGGGCCCCAGGCAGTCACACTGTGGAGCCCCAGCAAGTGGTGAGAGTGTTGCTTTTGTCCAGGGGTGGCCGGGATGAGACCCAGCCTGTCTCTGGGCCTCAGTTTCCCCACTTCCATGGTGGTGCATTACAAAGGACTATAGGAGCTCAGTACACGTGCTTTCTGAGGGTCCCTTCACCCCCCTCGACCCTGAGTCAGGCCATGGTCCAGCCTCATCTTTAATCTTGAACTAGAGGATGTACAGATGGGGAGTGGCATCAGCGGGGAAAGTAGGCCACAGTCCTGGGTGAGAGGCCTAGAGTAGGCTAGAGAGGCCAGGGCAGGGCCACTGGGGGCTCTGGGAGAGGGCTCAGCCCCCGACAGTCATCCATTTGCCATGCTGTCCCCACCTCTCACAGTCCCAGGCTGACCCCCAGCCAACAGGTCCCGATCCTGCTGGAACACTCAGTCCCACAGCCATAGCCATGGCCAACCTGGGCCACGTACTGATGTTGGGACGGATCCCAGCTCTCAGGAGCAGCCTCCTCAGTAGCCTGAGGCCTCTCCACCCTTCCTTGGGTCTGTCACAGCGTACACACAGGTCCCATCCCGGGACACAGCCTGGACCACGTTCAGGAAAAAGAGCCTCTTGGTCTGGTTCTGGCCCCGGTCCTGGAGCCCCTTCTGCACCTCCTGGAGAGGAGAGAAGGCCAGCTCACAGATGAGGGCAGCTGAGAGCCTCCTCCCGAGGAGAGAGGGCCCAAGCGGGAACCTGAGAACCCCAACCTAAAAGGCAGGAGGGCACTGGGTGAAGCCTCGTCTGCAGGGCATGGAGTCTGTGCCTCCCACTCAAAAGGCCCCAGAGGAGACACGTGACAGGGTGGATGTCACCCAGGCCAGAAGAAGTTCAAGATGCAAGCTCATTTTTATCCTGAGTCCGTGAACACCAGCGGCCTGAGTGCCACATCTGAGGAATCTGGGAGTATTAGTGGAGAAGGTAGCTGCTGGAGACTTAGGCTGAGATGCCTTTGGTTTTAAGGACCTTGAAAGCAAAGCCCTCTAGAAAGTAGAGGCTGGGCCTTTTGGAGTCCCGCCCGAGTTCTCCTTCCATAAGAACTGCCAACACCACCTCTTGCTCCCACCTCGGGGTCTCAGTACCTGGGGACCCCGGGACACGAAGGGAGAAAGGCCCGATGCCAGCGCTGTTGTGCTGCACAGGACATTCCATTCCAGCACTCACAGGAGAAAACCCAAAACTTAGACACCGGGAACACGGTAGTCTAACTCCTCAGAGGCCGAGGCCCCACAGGCTTAGGGCCCCAATGGTTGAAAAATCAACTAAAAGAAAGATGGCAAGTTTCAGACCTTCTGCTCTGCCATTTGTCTACAGTCCAAGGATATGGAACACCCCCCGCCCCCGCCCAGGCTAAAGGCACCAGTGATCCCCAAGAGACCAGGCCCTAAATGCTCAGATGTGAGGCGCTGAGTCTGTGGAATTTGAGAGCATCAGGGACCCAGGTGCCAGTTTCTAAGACACCGACTACCTTGCCTCAGAGTTAGGAATCCCACACATCTGTCTGTCTGTGAAGGGGCACGAATCCCGGAGTGAAGGAAACTGCG